CTCTCTGTATTTATTGTTGCGCTCTTCTTGTCGTCGGCTCCCTTCCCCCGAGTCATGCGTCAACAAACTGACGTCGCCTGCCACCCGACAGCCGACTCGTTCCGACCCCAACTATACATCAAAAGGAATTTGCAAAAGTGACGACGTCCGCATCCGTCCAGTGAAAACAAATCGTCGCGGGAGTTTGTAAAAACACACCGGAAACGACGACAGACAATATTACAACAAAGAAGAGCAAAAAAAATTTTTTTAAAGCCAAAGAGATTACAGAACGCTCTTAGCTACGTTGCCTCCTCCATTCCACCTCCACATACAAATAAACACACGCACAGAGAGAAACACATGGACAGAAAAATAATTAAAGGCACGCAAAACCTTTCAGCGTACGTATAAATGCATCACTATACGTGGGTGTAAACATACAGATAATATATATATATATATATATATACAACAAAGCAAAGAAACATACAAATACAAGCACAATACAATATATACATGCATGTATATAGGAGAAGGTTGAAAGGCAACGGTAAGAGAGCCACACTCTTCGGGGAAAGGGCAATATATATATATATATAATTGAAGCATTAGCATGTGCATCCATATCACACTACTAGCAAATAAAGCAAAAGGAAAAAAAAAAAAAAAAAAAAAAAAACAAAAATATATATTTCAAAACATACAAAAAAGAAAAAAAAAAAGACAGCCGGTTTTGGTGATGGAAGAGGTGGAAAAAGAGTCCATGCCAGCAACCCGGACGACTGTTCCTTCCACTCTCCCTTTTCCCATGCACACACACTCTCTCTCTATCACCCCTAAAACCCTCCCCGCATTCACCACCCTTTTGCTCATCTTACCCCAACCATTTATATACACAAAAAAGGCACTAAAAAAAAAAAACCCAAAATAAACACAAACAACAACAAAAAAAAAGAACAGGAGGAAAAAACACATGGACACACAGTTAAAAAACACGGTCCGTCAATTCTCCGCCGTTCCATCGTCACGGCCATGTAAACACAATCCACTTCCCTAATGCACACTAAAAAGCACACTGTACACTATAGAGAAGCATAACCCTCAAAACTAACTTATGGATACATCCGCAAAGATATATATATATATATATATATATCAAGAGAGCCTATTTGCGTTCCGCCACCCCACAAATGTCCCCCTTAATCTTCCCCTCCATTCCGTCTATCTTTCTCAGCCTTGATTACGATGATGAGGCATTCGTGTCATTTTTGTCCAATTTTACCGTTTCTGTCGCTGTCGTTGTGATCTCAGGTGCCACAAGGCTTGCCGTCGTAGCTGTCGCACCGTATGGCAGGCGGCTAAGCGGGATTTCGCAAAAAGAGCATCCCAATTTAAGCATGCGTATCACAATCGTCGCAACGTTCCTTGCGTCGTCAATGCCACTGTGTAGCCGTCCTTCAAAGGGGCAGTTAAGCGCATCAAGCATCGCCTTTATTTTGCCTTGCTGGCACTGAAAGAAGTGTGCAAAGAAACGTTTCACATCAATCCATTGATAAAACATACTGGGAAAGCGAATCCCTTGCCGCGATACGCTGTGAATGTACATAAATTCCTTCAGGTCAGTGGGACCATCCGTGGCCAGCATGGTGCGAGATCCGGGAGGGACTGTCTGTGCATGCCATCGTTCAAATCGCCGAATAACATCCTCCAGCGGCAGGGCGTTATCGATATCTTCTTGTCGAATGCCCGTCAATTGGCGGCAGAACTCACTCAGTTTGGGGTTAACCTTGGGCTTGACAAAGTGGTGAAACTCGGCAACAGCCCGTTGCAGCCTCACGTCAACCATAACCACAGGAAACTCAATGATTTCGGA